CCCAAAGGGTCCTATGTGTGCACCAGGGCAACACTTGCATTCCAGGATTAGGATGTTTATACAAAACGATTTCCGAGTAGGCTCTCAGACCATGTGTCCTCTGGGGACAAAGTGTCCTGTGGGACAATTTCAAAAGAGCTCAAAAGCATGGTGTAGATTAGGACAGAACAGGTTTTTTCAGAGCCAGGATGAAGCTATACAAGCACATTTTTTCAGCTTGCATAGCAGGAACGATGAACCCGCTGCTGGAAGCATCTTTACGGCGCTCCACATATTGTATTTGAGCCAAAAACAAAACCAAAAAAATGAGATAAAAAACACACACTATATGTATATTCGTGCACGGATGGTACGTATTATAGGTGTGCATCGGTTTTGGGTCCATATGTTCACGTTTAGGGCTTAAGGTCGGGGACGTTTAGGGTTTAAGGTCTGCGTGCTGTGTGGCTTTTAAGGTTTAGGGTGCAGGGCACTAATCACATGAGCCTAATTTCGGCGTAGGATTAGGGTCGATCGGTCTATCGCTGCACTCCAAGACTAACTTTTCCTGGCCGCTGTGCCATGTCTCGAGCGAATTGAGATCGCTAGCCGGCCGGTTCGTATATACAGGATCTAGCTATTCAATATAGTGCGGTCTAAGGCAAATACGTATGAGGCGTAGGTACCGGTACACGTTACTCCAGCCAGCTGCAAAGCCCGAGCCGAAAAAACTCGGATCTACGGAGGCCATATTGCCCTCAACCAGTATACGTACACATATGCTATATTTAAAATTAGGGCTCGGGGATAGTGCTTTTTAGGGCCTAGCTAGCTCGGGGGTCAGTGCCCGACCATATCGTCATCGCTCTCATCGTGATCAGCAACGAGCCTTGGATCGGATTTGATTGGGCCCGGGCTTAATGTAAACCTTCGAAATTGGCCGAGTATCCACAAGTAGTACCGTTGCAACGTTGATCTTTCCAGAGCTCTCGAATGTGCTCGCGATGCGATGCCTAGGTTTTGATTTAGGTTTAGGGGTTCGAGTTGGCTCAGAGCTAGGCTATGAGATACCGTATTGTAGCAGAGGCACCGACCAAGCGGCCATTCATATCTTCTGATATGAATGTGTGGTAAAATCTGTAATTGATTCCTTGGTTAGGACGATATTTAAGTCTAGGAGTACTTGCGGCCCAAGACCCCGTAACCTGAAATAAAACCGCAAGGCCGAATTAGCGGGATATAATATAGTCTATAGATTGGTTTTAGTTTAGGGTTTGGGGTTTAAGGTTCAAGGCTTAGGGCCTAGGGTTTGGGGTTTAAGGTCCTAGATTTTAGGGTCCGGGGTTTTGGCAGCTCGGTGGCTTTCCCGCGTCGCGAAGTATGCCAACTCCTGCGTGGCCTCGGTTGCATCCGGTCGATTAGACACTAAATCCTAAACCCCTACACCCTAAACCCCCTAAACCCCCTAAACCCCCTAAACCCCCTAAACCCCTAAACCCTAAACCCCTAAACCCCTAAACCCTAAACCCTAATGGTGACCCTGAAACCCCCTAGTATCTGGATACCCTTGCTGTGTAGCCTGTACACAACCGTTGTAATAAACCTTAAATTGGGAGGGGCACGTGCAACTTCGGCCGCATCGGAAAGTATCCCAGTCCTTTCGATGTGCATCTAGCAGCCAGAGATCCATAGCCGGCCAAAGCAGCATCTGTGCAGTAGGCGATGCGATCAGCCTGGGAGGTGTCCAGGTAGCGAGGGCTGCTTTCCAAAGCTCCCATGAGCTGCGACTCGAAATACCTTGCATTTCCCGATTCTGCAACAAAATTTAATGCAATGGTCTCTAAACTACAATATTATCACCAGCCCAGATGCAGACACTGTCCCAACAAAGTGAAGTCCTCTGTCTGATAATTCTCGTCAGCGTGGACGAGCTCTGTAACCAAGTCAGCCAACCAGCTGGTGATCACCCGGACCTTGCGATCGTGACAGCACTCCCTAAACCCTAAAATGAGAACCCCATGCGTAGCCTCGACTCGTCAACCGACTTATCCGAATGCCATCTAAGGCACGTTATATGCCTTGGCTGCCAGCTCCACCTCGCCAGTCTTTCCACGGAGGTACTTCGGCTTGAACAGTGGTTGCGAGTGCCTTCGAAGGCGACTAGCATCGGACTTAGGATTTGGGGTGTATGGCATCTCCTAGCTTCTCTAGTAAACAATACTAATTTCTGCACCTAGGGTGCACAATCTTGTGTCGTCGGGTCCATTGACACAGGTCAGCATAGGCAGCTTTCAGTTTCTCGGCTTTGGTAGCTCCAGGCCATAGACCCTCGAGGGGGAAATGTGAGAAAATCAAGCAGACTTCTGGAACCCGCATTATGTATATATCTAAGCCTAATATTACCCTAAACCCTAAACCTCAAAGCCTTGGATGATTTGTATAATTGCTCCATGTGGGGTTTAGGCGTTTGGGTTTAGGGTTCAGGGTCTGGGGGTCAGGGTTTAGAGGTCCTCCCTTAGCAGCATTTCCAGGCATCCACCGGCGGTCCAAACAAGAACCCCCAGGTTGATGCTGTGGAGGCTGCACCACCGGAGCATCGTGTGGTGGAATCCAACCGTTCCCAGCAGGTAGCCTCAAATCAGGTTTGGATGTGATTTATAAGCAACCCAGAAAGCATTGTATTATATTAATAGTATCCCCAGCCAAGAAACTTTCTTCCGTGCCCGGAGGCTGCCAAGCACAGTCTGTTTTAAAGCTTGCGAGGCTTCTGCGTGGGTTTGACTTCAGCGTTGAAGGAATTTCCAGGACGGGGTCAAACTTTGTCAAGTAGCAATGGTGACAAATGCGAGTGCAAGCCCAGCCACATTGTAAGCTCATGAGCTCTTTATGGAATTTCCAATCCGCACGAACCTCACATAGAGGAAACCTGCAAAGCACACCATGGTGCTGTCCCAGCGGCTGCCTCGACAGGGCACAATCTTGTAAAGTGCCATCTGAGGCAAGCAGCGGGCCGTCTGGAAGGAAGCCGTACATAGCTGCATTCAGTGATGCGACAACCTTGGCGGGCTGTTCTGGATAGGGGTATTGGTTTGGCACTTTAGGGGTTAGGGGTTTAGGGTTTAAGGGTTTAGGCTTTCGGGGTTTCGGGTTTAGGGTTTACCGCTTTGGGCTTTAGGGTTTACGGCTTTAGGGTTAAGGGTTTGCTTTTTGTGTACTGTACCATGTGCCGAATGGGCACAGGCTTCATGTAGGCCTGGATGGTCTCGTAGCCACAGCTCAGAGCCTACATCAAAGGGTTCATCATAAAAGATGTAAATAATATATATATATATATATATATATGTGCTACCTCGTTTTTGTTTAATACCCATACATAGATATTATTCACACCTCCCGGATGACGAACATAGGGAAGTGAGTCCTCATCGCGTCTTTCGTGGTGTTCAGGATGAACCCCATGTACATGCATGTGAGTTTCTCATTGTTGTTGTACTTAACGTCGTCCCCGTAAGTGAAGATTGGGATCGGAAGGCATGGCTCAGCAGACGTAGTACAGGGATGCGAAGCAGCCCACTCGGTGTGCCGCACACAATGCTGCCAGTAGTCGCGGGCAGCCGTCTCATCAATATCACTGATGCCTTCATCGTGTAGATATTGAATCAGATGATGCGGTAGTATAACTGGCATCTTCCTTTCGAGCCATCTAGGAGTTTGTTTAGGGTTTAGGGCTTAAGAGGTGTATGGTTTGGGGTTTCGAGCTTTAGCACTAAAAACTTTAAGGGTATGGTGTGGGATTTGGGGTTTCGAGCTTTAGTGCTAAAAGCTTTAGGGCATGGTGTAGGAATGGTTCCATCGACCCCTTAACCCAACAGCAGTTCCTGTACACCACGGTGACATCCGTAAAGGAAGTCCGCATAGGCACACGAACCCAAGAGATCGGAACCTGAGTGTCATGCATAACCACGATCATACACTACATGTGCAGGGTCTCGGGCGAGAGCACGATTGATATTTAAGTCATGTGTCGCAACCATATGCCTTCGTAGCTGCTCGCAATACATCGCGTTCCACATTAGATGGCCACTGGCCACCACCACCAGCTTTTCGAAGCTTGTCCCCGAGCCGCCCCAAACTCAAATGTTGGCCATTGGCTCTCACTTCCTGCACCCCGGACAATCAACCTCCAACCCCTCATACCCCTCAGCCAGCTAATCTAGCGAACCCCATAAGCCCTGATCTCCTCTCGACCCCAGAATGATTATTGAAACCCGGCCCCATCCTTGTGTCCATGCCGCAACATCTCTGCAGCCCCACAAAAGCTGAGGTCCTGGAACGGGGAGCAAATAGATTGGATTTGGAACATGCTGCAGCTGGTCTGCAATTAACTTTCAAACTCCGGTCCCCTTTGCCGGTGCATTTCAGCACATGACGACAGAGCGGCCCCACATCGTTTTGCGACAGACCTGCGTTGCGTAGGGGAATAGCATATTAACTTAAATAGTAGCTATATAGTGCTTAGGGTTTAGGGTTTAGGGTATGGCAAGCACTGTACCTTTGATGACATCAGGATCAGCTGGTAGCTTCCAGTCGGATCGAATTTCGAAAGGGATTAAAAAAGACCGCACTTACGGCAGTCGGGAGGCGTGTGCGTGCAGGTTCGGCCCGCTCTAGTCGCACGAAGATCGCATCGGTCAGAAAAATGTGCATAAGCCCTAGGGAGCTCATGGACACACACACATGAGTAAACCCCCAGTGAGTTTACTCTCAAGATCATGTTGCCTGGCCGGACAACACTGTCAGTATTTAGGAGAAAATTTTCAAATACTCGTGGATTGTACTAGTTGCTTGCCTGGCAACAGGAGCCTTGTTGTATGCAGGGGATGGCTCCTAGCTTGCACACCTGACCATCATAGCACAAGCCGTGCTTCGGATCACTTGGCTTTTGCCTTGGCTTTTCCCTTCGCTTTGCCCTTCGCCTTTGCTTTGGCCTCACTTTTGGGCTTCGGTTCTGCCTAAGATGCACAGACACGGATCGCTCGTTGAACTGCACATGAGACATGATACTAGTGTTTAGGGTTTAGGGTTTAGGGTTTAGGGTTTAGGGATCACCGAAGAAATTAAACTGGGCTGGGGCACTAGCTTCTTCCTTATCATGGATGCAGCATCCTGGTATGCCTTCATCTTCTCATTCAAGGCATCCAGGGCAGCCTGCTGCTGCTCAGCGTCCTCGGCCAGATCGTCGCCCTGGGATGCATTGCGAGGGCACTCTGTTTCTTAAAGACTTCTGGGGCTGGAGTTCGGGGACACTCTGCATTAATAACCAAATGCCGGGTCTTGCTTCAGCTGAATTTGGGCTAATGTTTGGGCCAGGGATGTGTTTGTTCTGGGTGCTGCAGGATTCGGTTTTGGGCTGTGGGTTAAGATTTGGGTTTAAACCGTTCGTAATAGACACCGAATTGGGTAAAATACGGCTTTATAGATCGAAGATGGTTTGCTTTCATAATATAATAAACACGATCTGTAAATCGGAGACGATGCCAGCCCACGACCCTAAACCCTAAGTTCAAAAACACCAGAAGCCCAAACACCTCCACAGCCCCACGAGCCTCGAAAGCCCAACCAAGAAAATCGAAGCAACAAACCCCACCTCGCCCCTAAAGTAGAATACTCTCAACACGAACACCTCAAAGCCGAAAGTCTTGACAAACCAAACAGCCCGAACCAGGAAGCCCACGTGTCCTGGGTCCATAATGCGGTATCCACCAACCTAACAATCCCGAACCTACGAAATCACTGCATTATATAATTAAGCTTGGCTTGCTGTGCCTTCAGAATCTCCACAGCTTCATTCAAGGATGTGGCGTGCCGATCCAGCTCGGCGTCGTAGCCAAGCCTCAGAGGCTCCGACCTGGATATGGTGATTTGGTTGTGGGGTTTGGGTTTAGGGTACGTTGGGGTTTGTGGCTGCGTACACTAGTACTCATAAGTTGTTTAGGGTAGCTCGCCGAGTGAGTCGGCATTTAGGGTTTAGGGTTTTGGGGGAAGGCGGGGTGCTTGTGGCTTATAGGGCCTAGGGGTTCGACATCTTTCTTCGGGATCAACTGCCCCTAGCGGGGTTGGTTTAAGGATCCGGGTTGTCAGGGCTTCCCAAAACCCTAAACCCCTAAACCCTAAACCCTAAACCCTAAACCCTAAACCCTCAATAAGGTTTTGGGGCCAATTATGCCTCAAATAGGTGGGGACTACAAAGGCGATAACGATTCTTCACTATC